ATTACTGATACCACATTTCTTAAATGACTTAATCACTATATCACTTCTTACTTTTTCTCATGAATTCTTCACCCACACGCAGATCTAGGCCTTTGCGTTTCATGAACCTATAACACCACGATGTATGACCAGTAAAATCTTCTAAACTATTATCACATGCAATCCTCTTTGCTTTAAAAATTGTCATATTTGTAGAAACGGATAGTCCTTGCCTTCTCTAATCCACAACCCATTCGTACAGTTTATTTTCGAGATCTTCCCTTTTTTTTCTCTTGGAAATTGCATTTATCACTTTTAATCATTTTCAATTCTTCTTCTTGTTCGAAACGAATAATTTTTTCTGTTAGTGGAGGACCAAAATATCTTTCGGCAGCTCTGTTTCCATGCTCTTTTGCATAGTTAATCACACTTAATTTAAATTTAGCTGTGTATGACAATCTCTTTTCTTTAGACATCGTAAGGGGTGAAAAAATAGAACGAAAAATGAAGAAACAACTCAGATACGGTACTTCAGCTTTCGGTGATGCATCCAACTTGACAGTAAGCACGTGTCAGACTGCCGAATATCAAATGAAAATTGAAATACCGATTAGGCGATTACCGGCACTAATTGCATTAAGCACTCTGATTGGTTAAGCGCATTGCACATTTGAATCTAAGGCAAGCACTCAAAAACAATTTTTATTTGTCAAAGTTAGGCCTGAAACGGCCTTATTCTGCTCCACATTAAACAGGGATCGTCGTGTATTTCCAAGCTTTTTCACTCTCATCCATTACTATAATTTATTTTTTGATTATTTAGGGAGCATTATAAATAGTTATGTTTTTAAAAGAAAAAACTACTCTACTATTATTATAATTTACACATGGCCTGTGTGTATATTGTATATATATATATACATATATATTATTCATACCTTCGGTGTATAGGACGCAAGCAGATTTTGACATCAAATTTTAGGGTAAAAAAGTGCATACACCGAAAAATACGGTAGTCTTTTTACATTAGATTTATTTATGTATAAGACTATTAAAATGCTTGATGATTTGTGTGTATCTATTATGTTTTAACTTCCATCTTCATTCTAGTAGAGATTCATTAAGAAAAAAATTATAAAATCAAAATGTGGCATTGACTATTTCAATGTTTGTGATAAAATTGGGACTTGAGGATAGAAACCCATGTATTGTTGTGAATATGACCCATTAGTGTTATTGAAATTCAAGATCCATATATCAATAAAATATTTGTGTATTAAGGTTGAATTTAGTATGATAGTACTTAACATTTTGGTATTTATGTCCAAACGTCATATTGGAGGCTGGAATGCCAACTTCAAGGACAGTCTTACTGTCTTCCCCCATTGATGTATAGTACTCTAATTTGGGTCTTACTTATGCCAGTACTTCGAAAATCCAAGGTATATTACATAATGACTCACCTTATCATTTGTGCCCTGGTGTTTTTTTCTTTTCCACAAAATTAAATCTAATTATATTATATATACATATAAATATACCATTTCTTTGGTGTACTAATGTTTGAGCCTTTGTACATGTACATAAACAAGACACACAAAATTGTAAGCTTATTGCTATATGCATATTATTTACAAATACTTTTATATTTTCAATCATATTAATGCAAAGGGATATATTATAAATATTTATATTTGTTCTAAACTGAGGTTCACATTCAATTGAAGTGGTAAATGTTGCTGAGATGAGTAACCTATTTCTACCTTTGATGTAAAAATTTCTTTGTTTCATCACTATTTTGGTTAATAGAATTATTTCAGATATTTAAGTCTTACTAATATACACAGTGTGCAAGATTGTTATTGATCAAGTAAAGAAATTTACAAAGTACAAACATCTTTAAAATAAAGTTTAGTTCAAGACTTAAGAGTTGATAGAGAATACTATGTTCAAAAATACAGACAAACTAAGTGTTATAAAATAGATAATTCTGTACTCTATACAAAGTAAATTTGTGGAAATTTTTAAAGTCTTTTATTAATGGAAAACATTTTTGAATTTGTGGATAGACATATTGTTCGCTGTATGCTTTAAAGTAAAGAATTCATTATATAGCTCACTATAGTGTACTTCAAGTTTGAGTCTTAAATATTTAATGTTTCAACAGAGTTTAAAAACATTTCTTTCTTTATTTTTACAGCACATGAATTGATTTAAATGTTTAAGTCATTTTTTGCTAGTGTGAGCTTCACTAAAAATCTAGGACATGTTTATGTGTGCCTAAACTGGGATCATTTTTATGAATAAAAAGGATAATTTAACCATAAATAATAGTAAGTTTCACAAGATGAGTGTCTTTTTAATCAGATCATACAATATTAGGTATGTTTTAAATAGTTCATAAAGTAAATGGTATCTGATGTGAATATATGAATCAGTGGTGGTTCAAGTGTCCAATCTTGCAGACAGTGAAACTGAAGAAGCAAGAATTATAAAGTGTTACAAGTAAACTAAAATTTTTTTTTAGACATTCACCAAAGTGCTAGAAAATTTTAGATAACTTGTTGATTTGCTTATTTAGAATAATTTTGACTTACATCCATCACTATTTTATCCATCCTGTTATCAGTCCACCAGATATTATGAAGTCCAGTGATATAATATAAAAAAATAAAGCTTTTTAAAACAAAAATGAAAGAAAAGAAATAAACATTAAAAGCAGTAATTTTATGAAAAGAATAAGATAAAAAAAAATTAATGTGCAATGAGGTACTTGTGAATCCAAATTTTTGATGTAAATTTTTAATTCATTATGAAAACCATCATTAATACATATGTTAGTTATTGGGAGTGTGTTAAGAATGTTGACTAGAATTAAGATAATAGAATCTTTTAAACCATTTTAGTGCTTCATTTTCAGTTAAAAAGGTTGTAAGGAAGTTCTGTGTAGGGTTTATTTTCTTTACTTAAACACTATGAATATTTAAAAAGATCATTATAGATGCAACAATCTTCAATTACTAAGTAATGTTTATTTTCTCTTTTTGAATTCCAGAAATTTGGTTTTCGGTTTTAGGAATTGTCCACAAAATGATGTGAGTAACAACACTTGCTGCCAGTGGAGAAAGGATACTAGCCCACCATATGATAACACTAACAAAGTCTTAGAATTTACATTGACTGCACGTAATAGCCTAGGACATATGAAGCAGGAATTCGTAATAAACCATTATAAATATGGTGTGTCAGCTCAGTTTTTATTTTTTTAAATTTATATCTTAAAGATGAATTCAAAATATTTACATTATTCATACTGGTTTGTTAGTTCTTTATCACCTGTTTTTTCTTTTATTTGTACTGTCATATGTTTTAGAATTTATTTAATCTGCTTTTATTTTTTATTTATTCTTTTTGTACCATCGATAATTGATACATTAATTTTTTGCCCCTCTTAATTACTTTATAAGTACTTATTTTTTGTTTATCTCAAAACACTGTTTAAGTTTTTTCTAGTGGCTGAAACAGATCATGTAACTTAATAAAATATTAAGTAACTAAGTGTAAATATTGGTACAATAATTTATTTTAAGTTACTGATATTGCTGATATCATGCAGTTATTGCCTACCTCTGATGGCTCAATGGTAAGTTTGAGAAATTATAGTGCTAAAAATTAGGTTTCATTACCTGTGGTGGGCACAGTACAGATAGCCTGTTGTATAACTTTGTACTTAACAACAAACAAACAAAGCTTGTATTTATGATGGTTTTAGAAAACTATTCTTTCTCTTTTTCTTATTTCATTTTTTCTGTTAATGAAAGAAGTTCCTAATTTGAAAAAAATATGATAAGGCATTTTGAAAATTTATTATAGATTTTAGTTTTTAGAAGCTATAAGCAGTTGTTCAGTGTATCAAAGTGATCAATGAAAAGTGTCATTACAAAGTGTGTTATTTTTGTCTTCTCTTTGTAACATTCTAGTACTACTGTTTGTAAAGCACTGTTACAATTTTATCCTCACACCAATTAAATTAGCATTGTACGTGTAATAGTATGGTATGTATATGTTTGTTTCTGGTCACATATGTGTAAATATTAGAGTTTTTATATATGTTTCACCATGCTGTTATAATGATGTATGTTTTAAATAAAATTGATAAAACAAGACAAAAATATTTTTTAATTGCTCAATACTTTATTTGTAAAATTTAAAAAATATAAGTTAAAAAATCTTTAAAAAACTCCATGTTTTGGTGGAAATAATTCCACCATCTTCAGGAGAATAAACCACGAAGTATGCATGAAGTTTCTTATAAACCTAATGTACATGTATAATTAGCATTTTTTTTCACAGGGGTTCCATTTATAACAATGATTTCCAAATATATACTTCCCTGGCTCCTTGGCATAAATCTCTATTTATATTCATTTTGTTTTTAACAATTTCTAAGGATTCTCCTATATTTAGTTCATCTTTTTTTGTTACCTGTTTAAGTATTTTTACATTATCCCAGTCAATAACGTGTAGAATTTGCCACATGTTCCGCCAAAGCCGATTCACCTGTTTTAGTTATACCACCACATTTTGAT